GTAAACAAACCATCTTGGCAAGTGTTAAGCAGACACACGCAACTCATATCTCGTTAACACCGGACATAAGAATACATTACTGGAAGCATGAATACATTACCATCTGCTGCTTTTAATCCCAGACAGTTACAGTAGTGGCATGTTTTGGTAAAAGGATATCATTAATCATGGGTATAATCAGATGACATCAGGTCATGGCCCACTAAGTGTGTTTTCCTCATTATGGTAATATGGAGGAGAGGGGTGTGTGCTTCCGCTGCTTTTTTTTTTTCCTACTTTGACACCTCTTTTCGTGTCATCCTACTCACAGCGGAGAATAGAAAAGATTGGGAGAGCAGACACAACTCTTGTCTTTACAATCATCTTAGAAGAGGACGTTAAAGTCGTGCTAGATCCGAGCCGACGCTACAGAGAGATGCATAAAAGCAGTAGATGGATAAGTAGCAACTTTAACTTATAAATGTACTAAAGGTATTTCTGTAGCAGTGCAAAAATAGGCCCCAAGGCTATTTACTGTCTCTTTGATATGTGAAGTTTGTGGTTTTGATTGTGTGCGATTATGTTTGGTGGAATGACCTTTAGTGGCAACCGTATTGTAATGTAATGAGGACGTGTCAGTCGGCAGGAGTACAGTGATGAGACGAGGCCAGGCAACTGGCGGTTACGGCATCGATCTGCCGACGTGGTGAGTATAGGAGGGAATCTGAAATATTTCAACATCTCCTCTCCTCCCAGTGCACAGAGAAGCTGATCTAAGGCGTAGCTACAAAAACAATCCTGTTTATAAACTTAAATAGACCACGCATGAGAAGGGTAAATAATATAAAACCATTAGTTCCTCCTTTAGTTTCATTGATCCAGTAAAAGTCAGAAACTTGAAATTTTGCGCAACCGGAAAACTGACGATTTTATTTCACATATTAATGATGATTAAAGAGGAAAAGATGAAAAACAATTGGAGTGGAGGTGTTGCAGATTGATATGGTGATGGATTCTCTTACCTCCACCTTCTCATTAACTCTGGCCGGGGTAATATGACCGGGGAGAGATTTTCACCTCCTACTTCAGCACTAACACCAAGTCTCTAAGCCCTGCTTGGTAAGCCCTATCTCATAAAGCACAATTAACTGGACCAATCAGACAGGCTTAAAGTCACTCCTCTTGTGCCTTAACTCCTAATTAACCAAAATACATCATCAGCCATGAATCAGCCCGGTGGATTTCAATCATAATCACAGTCACTCATAAAGCAGTAATTTGCTGTGACTTTTCCCTCAAGGACTACTTGGTGTAATTTGTATAATAGGAATTAAGATTCTATATTATTTTTTTGGTCGGGTCTGGGTTTTCTAAAAGGAAGAAAGTAAATGTATGAGTAAACCATTGGTGGAATAAGATCTGAGGCTGTACTGACTAGTTTATCTCAGGGGGTGCGAGCTTTAACTACAGAAGCGAAGCACCGGTGAAACATTAATCACCAAAGTATTATGGTTGATATTCTCGGACAGCGCATTAATTCAGGTGGCTATTAGGCTGCCTTGCAGCAAACCTTCCCGAAAGCTCCACATTGAAATTCAGTTGACAGTGCAAAGTGTGCCAAAAGATAACTATGGTGTTAGTACCAACGCAACAATAAGAAAACAAATTACGGATATAACCCGTTTGTATTGTGGGACTAGTGCAGCAGCATAACCCAGACTTCAGCGCGTCGTATTCTGGACTGGTAGCGTGTCTTCTGTGTATTCCTTGTCAACACAGACAGACACTCTACCTGTAGATAGAAATAAAAAAAAAGAAAGGCAGAAGAAACACCAATTAGAATGGCTCGCTCTCCTGCACTCCCTCAGAAAAGCCTGGCTCTGTTAAAGGTCAGCCTGAAATTTGAATGACAGGGCCAAAGTCTTTTACTCATAATTTTTGTGTTTGCAATAGATTTCAGAGCAATTCACAGCCTTAAAGGCCTTAAGTGGAACAGCAATTAATTGTAATGAATAATCTGACAAATCTGGTTGACATATGGCTGCTAATACTCCTCCTTTCTAGAGGGAGCAATGGAGGGATTAGATTACCTCAAATGAAATCTGGGAGCGCGGTGCCATCTGCATGTACGGGGAGAGGCAGCACACGTAGAACAGGACGTGGGTGAGACTGGGGTCTGCTCCCTGTCGCGCCAGTTCCCTCAACCTCACCGCCAACTGATTTGGGAATAGAGGCGCTTCTTTTTTTTTTCATCTTATTGAGCCAGCTGCTTCTCATGAAATAAAACGCAATAACGCTGTGGCACTGCCAAAATCGAAGCCGCTGAGAAAAGCAAACAAACATGACAGGAGTGATAAGTGTTAGGTAAACATATAAACAACACCACCACCGTGTCGAACCATCTGAGCGCAGGAGGGTCCTAACTTTATTAAAAGCATTTAGACCAAGGGCGGATGATCGCCGGTAAGCAGCACAAAGTAGCGTGCATTTAAAATAAAAAACAACTCTATTTAGTATGGAACTCAAAAATGTTCTAAATTAAATAAATCAATAATATATTATGGAATGTGTAATCTGACTATCAAATTGTGAAAAAAAAGTTCATTTTTATGAAATGTTTCTTATTCTTAAAATGTGCTTATTAATATAAAACTAAGGAGGTTTTCTCCAGTAATGCTAATTATTATTGAGGCATTTTTATCTAATTATTTCTGTTTTTATTATACAATGTCCTTTTCATAAAGTCGGCTTTGATTTCATAATAGAGATTTTTTTCTGAATGCTGATTTATTTCATAATGACCCTTTTCAGCAGAATGTTTCAGTCTGTAACTCAATCAATCAATCAAAGCTTTATTTATATAGCGCCTTCCGCAACCCTGTCGGGTAGCCCAAGGCGCTGAACATAGTACATGACAAAGTTAAATATGGTGAATGAATCAAAAATTAAAGCAGTTCAAATTACAAATTACAAAAAAAGTTAAAACATTCTAGTAGAAGACAAATGGGTAAAACAAGGGATAGAGTGAACCAATGAAAACAGGGAAATAAAATCAACATTAAAGATGGCCTAAATCAAGACAGTGGGCGTGGCCTACAAAACTACTGGCTCATCTTAAAACATCACTGAGTTTTCCTGGATATTGGCTCTCCAAACACAAATTAGCTTATTTACACACAGTAGTATGTGTTGCATCTTCAGATCTAATTCACTACTTCGTATGTGATTGCTCATGTCTGACTGGATGGGCAACCAATCACAAACTGGCTCCGCCCTATTTCTAATTGGCAGACTAATGGGCCATTCCCATCTGTACCGGGTCGGCCCGGGCCGGGTAGCCCCAGTCGGCCCCAGCCTGGCCCGGTTGATTCCACACATCCTTGTCTTAAGCCCATGTGGGCTGATTCTACCCACCAATCAGAGGCTTGCTCTAATGGAAGGTGTGAATGGGCTGATTCTACCCACCAATCAGAGGCTTGCTCTAATGGAAGGTGTGAATTTGCTGTCAGCAGTGGGTGTGTCGGCCCTGGTCGGCCTGAAGCAGACTCCCTCGAGAAGAGGGTTGAGAATGAGCCTTGGTTGGCCCGGAAAAATACCAGGCCACCCAGATATGTAAACAACCTACGCTACCCGGCCCGGGCCGACCCGGTACAGATGGGAATGGCCCATAAACAACCTACGCTACCCGGCCCGGGCCGACCCGGTACAGATGGGAATGGCCCATAAGACATTCTGCTGAAAAGTGTCATTATGAAATAAAACACCCATTGAAAAAACACTATTATGAAATCAAAGCTGACTTGTAAATGAATGTTATGCAATAAAATTGAAATAATTAAGTAAAACCTCAATAATAATTTGGATTACTGTGGACAAATGACCACCAAAATAAAGTTTTATATTTATAAGCACATTTTAAAAGAAGAATTAAAAATATTTCATAATACAGAGCTTAGCTTTTACTTAACATTCATTGTCAGATTACATGTTTCTTAATGTAATATTTATTTACTTGATTTTGAACACTTTGGAGTTCCATACTTTCGGAGTTAAAAAATAAAAAAAAAATGATCTAAAAATGTGCCTGAATATACTTCTAATCAATATCTGCACAAGATGAGGTAGATTAGTCACTCTGAGAACTTTACTATTCAGTAGTTGTGAGAGGGTTCTTTGCAGGTGCAGATTCTGAAGTACTTAAATAGTATCAATGCGGTAAAAATAGCCCAGACCTCAGCTCTGGGAAACAATGCATCGCTGGGAGTGTGCTGCTGTATCAACAGGGCTGATGGGTGTAGCGGCGTCACACAGTACACTCCTGCTAAAAGCCTGATAAAGAGGTGGCCTTCTACAAGCTGGCTATTAACAACCGGCTGATATAAGCTAATACATCAGCTCAGTCGCTTACAGAGAGGAAATGTTGTTGAGGTAACAAATTCAGGCTTTCCCCATTCTTCAGTCGTTTACATACTGTCAGAACAATCATATCATTTTAGAGCAATATTTGTGCTTGACATGCACTTGGATGTAAAGGGGTAGTCCAGCAATTTGTCAAAAAAATGTCCTTGTGAAATTGATGAATATTATTTTATTTGGTCCATTTTTATTATCTTTGCAAATCGTTCATTTTTGTGTGGCAACAATAGATTTCATTGTCTGCATCTGATTGTACATCCTTCATGCTCTGTGGAGAACGGTTGCTACAGCAACACATGGGACAGTCCCGTTGCTGCAAATGTGCATCTTTTCTTAGTGTGTTTGCATGTTGCATCATTTGTTACGTCAACCATACTTTTTAAAACAATACCATTCGGTCACCATCACACGTTAGATTGAAATTTTTGATTTTTGCTTATGTGTGAAAAAATGTTTTACACGTGGATACGTTCCTGAACAGCCTCTGCTTGAAGAAATAGTGTTTATGTCCAACAGTATTGATAAGCTAACAGCTAGTTTGAGCAGATTCAGGACTAAAGTATTTTGTTTCTGTTCTAGAAAAGCTTCAGTGTCCAAAATCAAAATCAAGTCAAAGTCAGTTTAATTGTCACTTCTGCCACATGTACAGGACATACAGAGAAATGAAATTACGTTACTCTCAAACTCTCGCTAGACAGAAAATAAACATTTAGTATAAAAACAGTAACCAAGTTCAGAGAGACTGTGGGGGAAAAGAGAGGAGAGGTGAGAGAGCCGGGAGGGAGTTTAGCTTCCTAACTGCCTGATGGATAAAGCTGTCCTTCAGTCTGTTGGTCCTGGCCTTGAGACTCCGCAGTCTCCTCCCTGACGGCAGCAGCTCGAAGAGGCTTTGCATTGGGTGAGTGGGATCAGCCGCAATGCGAAGGGCCTTTTTTGTGAGGCGGGTGTTGTAAATGTCTGGTAGGGAGGGGAGAGAGATCCCAATGACCTTCTCTGCTGCTCTCACTATACGTTGGAGGGTTTTAAGGCAGGATAGGTTGCAGGCTCCGAACCACACAGTGATGCCGCACGACAGGATGCTCTCGATGGTGCCTCTGTAGAAAGTGTACAGGATGGGGGCTGGTGCTCTTGCTCTTCTTAGTTTGCGGAGGAAGAAGAGACGCTGATGTGATTTCCTCGCCAATGCTATGGTGTTGTTCGTCCAGGAGAGATCCTCTGTAATGTGCACACCAAGGAACTCGGTGCAAAAATGTCATATCTGTTTAATGTTATCTTTCACCCCATCAATTTGCAAAAAAATCTCCCTTACATTAAACTGTATGCCCCCAGCCCAGTAACATTTATAAGTGATAAAAAAATTGATGCACTTCAAGTCCAGCAGGGTGTTAATATGTATTCCCAATAAACAAACTATCTGTAAAATTTATAGAATAATGTTTATAGGGAGACTAGGCAGTTTTGGCTTGCTTTATCACCCCCTAGTGTCCATTTGTAGAACCGAAAGCAAAACTGATCTCCTCGCTCTGCGTTTGTCTTTTTAACACCTTGATCTAGCAGCTGAAATGTCTCCCCAGCCTTCCTTAGTGTCTACTGGAGTAATTCATCACCAAAATTAAACAAATCAGCTGTGTTCATGATCTAAAACATGCAGAAAACGTGCTGAAACCAGACTGTGGTGCCAGGTACGTCAGCTCAATCAAGCCACAACAGAGCGACCCATCAGTCTGAATTTGCATGTGGAATATTCTGGCCACAGGGGGTTGTCTGGCCTTTCATTAACCTCGTAAAGGGTCATTTTAGCACATACTGGCTCAAGAAAATGATTTTAAAATATGAAAAATTTCTTCCAGCCTGTAGAACAAAAATGCTATTTCTCCAAATTGAGGAAATTTAGGAATCTATAGTGGTTATTTATCACTTCTACCCAAAAATGCATTTCAAATTGTACCTTTACTAAAAATACTTCAAATGATCAGAAAACATAAGCTTTTTTTGTTTTTGCACACACTTTGTAATTAGATTTTCTGGTAAAACAAGCTGGAAACAAAGAATAGTTGTTCAAGAAACCCCTGCTTGTTGATGGGGACATTTTTTATACCTTTTCACATCTTATTTATTTTCTTTAAACACAAAGAATGATTCAGGCACAAAATAAACCTCATAAATCACATTCATCATTTTGCTTCTGTTTTGCAACACTTGCCTGTTTCATCCCATGAGCTGAAAGTCTAAGAAAAATGTGCAAAAAGTGCAAAGTTGTCACAACCTTTTCAGATGTACTTGCCAAACTCACGTTAGAAACACCCATTTGGAGTGAAGCTCTACATAGAGGTGGTAACTGTGACCTGAGAGAAGAGCCAAATTTCAGACATGTCACCAAAACATCCTGTAGGGGTGTGAAGAAATTCAGAGAGTTACTGACGAGAGAAGGTGGCAACCCACGACGGTGCTTCTGCTCACATCTGCTTAACCATCATCAACGTGACACAAACTCACCTAGAAAACAAGCACTAATCACCTGATTCAAAGACAGCGGGTGTCAGCTCGGATTATCAGTCACCAATGGCCGCTTTATGATCATCACTCTGATACAGAACGTTGGACTGGCTCCATTAACGCCACCTGACAGAAAGGAGGGAAAACAACAATTCATAATCACTCTTTTCTTCATAAAAAATCATTTCTGAGCAGATAGTTCAGGGGCCGGGCTCCTTTATTTAATTGCAGGAATGGAATAAAGAGCGTTTTCCGAGAGGTGCTGGTGTGTGGCTAGCGTAATTGCCAGGGAACAGGTCTTAATTTAAACAGGGGGTAATTATCATGCAGAGCATACCCACCCAGGATGTTTGCATAACTATCACAAGCGTTTTCATAAATGATGCTTTAATTAGTCTTAATTAGAATTTGTTTAAGTCAGCAGGGAATGCAGGGCCCGTGAAATGATGTATGTAATAAGCATCAGGCCCCGCTCTGGTTTTTTTCCCTTACTTGGGGAATAGAGCTGACAAAAATCACATCACATTAAATTGATTCAGTCAGAATTAAAATTCTTATGGTATTAATTAAATGTGGGAAGATCTCATTAGCAGGCAGTGTGGTAAGGGAGAGACCCCTCTCTGCCAGCAGCTGTGACGGTGTCAGAGCTGCAGTACATGCTCGCTATTAGGGCCCTAAGACAAGGGAGAAGTGAGGATGGTGGGAAGAAAGACGGAGAGAAGGAAGCAGGTGAGGATGGAAAAGGGGAGAATGACAGAAGTGGGCAAGATAGACAATGTCGGAAAAGGGAATTTAGAGGGGAAATGGAGAGAAGAAAGAGAGGAAACTTGTCTTTGATAGTGTGAGGAGGAGGAGGAGGAGAAGAAGGAGAAAAGCGAGGTGGCAGTATATTAATAGGCTGTGGGCTCCTGACCATCTATAGCTTTATTTAGCTTCATTCGGTCTATTTGGCTGGAGGAATTCAATAAGAGGAGAGCTAATGACTTGACCAGATACCCTGTTATCAGCACTGACGAGACACTCTCTCTGCTTGACTCTTTATACAGCTACTGTAGTCTAATAGGCCTCCGGAAGATTGCTGCCCACAGTGCCGACCTTCCCTGTGGAAATACAGAACATGATTGTGCCTCAGGGAGATGTGCTTGTGTCTCGCAGAGCTCACCTGATCCCACTGAATCGTTATTGGCATGCTTCTTATGGAGCTGCACTGCAAAAGACATCTGATGCGTGGAGTTTTTCTTTTTTTGTTTTCCAACTTTAGCTGTTTTTCTAGAATAGCAGCTCTAGGACGTTTCTGAGTGTTGGGAAGGCAGCAGGGAAAATTACCATGGCTCTGTCATCTCAAGCGTTTTATCTCAATTAGGATTTTGATAAGATGTGAGCCTATTGAGATGTTTCGGCAATGAGTGATGTCACTGATTAGCGCCAAAAGGCGTCCACAGACTTAATATCATTAAAGGGACACTGAGCAGTTTTGCTTGCTTGTAGCACCCCCTAGTGTCCGTTATTAATTCACAGTGGTTATACCGAAAGTGAAACTTATCTCCTTGCTGAGTTTGTCTTTGACACCTTAATCTAACAGCTGAAATGTCTCCTCAGCTGCCATTAGTTTCTAGAGGAGCGGTTCATTGCTAAATCAAATAAATCAGCTGTGTTAACGATCTTTAACATGCAGGAAACGTGCTGCAAGCAGACGCCATCTCCACCATGTCAGCTCTACTCCACCAGCAGGGATCGAACCGGCAACTCTGCAGTTGCAAGTGCGGTATTCTGGCCACAGGGGGGTGGTGGTGGTCTGAGTGACATTTCATTAACCTGTAAAGGGTCATTTCAACACACAGAAGCTAAAGGAAAATATTTAAAAATATGAAAAGTTGCACAGTACCTATTTGAAAGTTTAATATGTCAAAGTACACGGTCATTTAATCCATTTGGAGGAAGAAGAGAGCGGTTGTGTGATGTAAAAAGTTGAGCTTAATGACCACAACAAGTGCTATTACTTTATAGTGCTCTGTAGGAAACCACAAAGCAGCAAAAATTACGGCTTTGGGGGGGGGAGGGGGTGTTGCATCTTTTTTCTACGTTGGGAGTTTAGAAATGATGATTTTGAAGCATCGTGAACACTGCTTATTTTCCTTTCATTCTGCTTAACCAGGAACTCTTCCAATTTTACAAATGCTAGATGTTTGACAACGCCTGCTGACATCATTTCCTGCTGAGTTACAACCAATCAGCATGATTCAACCACAAGTCCCGTCCAGTGACTCTACTGGGCCATCTCCAAGAACAAATGATTCAGGTAACCGGTTGTTCCCCGACATGGCCTTTCAGGATGGCCCAATGAAACGGAGACGCGATCATGCTACGAAGTTCCGGTAAAATTACCCGGAAGTTCCAATAATTTGTCATCCCTCCGGTTGAATCATCATGAAAGAAAGGGATGTTATTAGTTCAGTCTTAAGTGAACAACAGAGTAAAATGAGTAGTAAAAAAAGACTAAACACAGAGTTGTGGCATCTTATAGATGGCAAATGCTTCCAAAAGTGTCTGTAAATATGGTTCAGAAAACAGCCTTGGCTCATATGTTCCTGAGACTAAATAATACAACACTGAGCACTTTTTTATAGACAATAAAATCTAAATTTCAGAAAGAAATCTCTTTATATCGAAAATGGCTCCGTAAAACACCTCGGGCCTACAGTATATGAGGCAAGCATTGTAAACACCGGAAACCCTGCCCTGAATGGAATCCAATGAAAATGATAATGGAGGAAACAATGGCTCCAGGCAATGTAGCAGCAACCCAGCACTCCCAGTGTTACAAGGCATCACTTTCCCTTTATTAGGAGTAAGCATGACTGTTAGTAGGTCCTGCATAAATATTTGCGGTAAATACACAGTATATCATTTTTCTTCACACTTGAATTGCATTATGATTTCCATGCAGACTCAGGTGAACAGGGGTCAGGGGACTAAATTAAGTGGGTCCTGGAAGCAGCTGCAGCGGTTTCTCTCTTTAACCATGCTTGGCTGGTTAAGCTATCAAAAGCCGCTTGTACATGCATCATAAAAAAACACTGTGTGTGTGTTTAAAATGGTATTAAAATACTGTTGACCCTTAAAATTAGAAAGAGAAACGTGCAACTCTTTGCATGGCAATTACTTCGTGTCCATCTCGAGCACAGTAGAGTGGGGACGTGTGACAGAGGCCCCTTGGAAATTTATTGACAGACACAGAAGTGAGGGGTTTCAGTTATGACAATGGGGCGTGATGACATCACACCATAAAAGCCCTCTGCAGGGTCAGACGCCACACGCCACACGACTCAAGTCTTTGTGTTTGCTATGCATGAATATATAAAAGATAGAGTAGGTTAGGGGTTGACATTGCTTTCCTGTGATGCATTGTCTCATCCACTGCTATGCTAAGTGCTGTTTTCTTCTTTTCTTCTGGTGTGTGTCTGTGTGTGTTTCTGACATCAGGTTAAAGGGATTTTTTTTTTGTTAGGTCCTGACTGAGCGGGACCCTAAAGGAGAAAATAAGAACAGTGAATGGTACTAGTAGCAATTACCCTCTTCAACTCTTCATCAATGCCACTTTAGGTTAAAAAATTATTCACTTTCTGTGCCTGACAATCAGTTCTTGTGTAAATGTTGTGATGTAAAACATGAAATGCATTAAAAAGGTAAGAAATGTCTTTATTGGCAAATGCTAATTTGAATGAAAAGACAGTATCAGTGCAAAGATGCACGCAAAACAGTATTTAATTCACTTTGTCTCTTACAAACTCCATGGAAATGTAAGAAAACAAACTGAATATGTCATTTATTTCATTTACAACGTGCATATCAGTTACTCTACCCTACATAAGTCGATGATGAAACTTAGCACAGGCCATTATGATAATTAAGCTTACTTAAAATAATTAGCTGTTGTATATTCATTAGCCTTTTAATTGGTTAACTCTGGGGACTGCGAGCAATTTCAGTCAGTCAAACCCACACACACACACACACACACACACACACACACACACACACACACATACACACACACACACACACACACACACACACACACACACATAACCTCCCCCTGAACTTTTATAGAGCACTCTCCCTCCAATCTCACTCCAGCTTTCAATACAGCTGTCAGTTTTGGGCCAGAAAAGTGAGCTATAACTCAGAATTTGCAGCTTTTTCCTCAGTGAGAGGAAGTACCTGTGACATCTGCACTGACAAGCTGGAGATAATCCTCCATGTGATTGTCAGACAAATCGGGGGTCAGCAGCGTTGCAGACAGGGGAATGTGGCAAGGGACACGGAGGAAATGTTCAATCGTGGGCCAGCCCATTCGGGAGCCTCCCTTTTCAGCCTCTCCAGTCTACGGTCCATCTCTCCTTTCACGCTCTCTCTTTCTCTGCCCACAGCTGCCGGGCTTCCACTGGGAGGAAGCAGTATTATGGCTGGGTTAATTTACTGATTAATATCCAGCCACTAGATCCAGCTTTCCCCAGATGGCCAATTAAAAACTACTACTGGCAGTATGCTTAGGCCTGACAGCAGGTTGCCAGCGGGCCCAGGGCCGGAGGCTGTAACAGAAGGTGTGGGTCCTGTTTGGGCCTCAAAAAGAGCCGTTGACTATTCTTTTCTTTGACTTTTTTGCACCAGTCATACCAACTAAAGCAATGTTAGTGTGTGGAGAAGAAGAGAAAGTGTTGAACTGCTCCTAAGGACACCAGGTCTCTATTATCACCTGAAAACTTGCTGGTAAACGGACACTAATGTAGCTCAGTTTACAAAATGGAATCTTAATTTATAACTTACACAAAATTCTGATCATTTGTGGTTTGAGACAAAAACAAATTGTTCAAATTTCTGTTTTCATGTTAAAATTCTTAAAAGTTGTGATAACGGTCTTGACGGAACCAGAAACCTGTGACGCCGGATGAAAAGAGAGTCATCGTTTAGGTCCATACGCCTTATTTCGTCAGCGACTTAAAAGGATGTTTTTCTTTTGGGGACTCTGGTAGTTTGTCTTAAAGTTGACATGGCAACAGCCAGCTGATTCTCCTCCTCTAACATTATGGAGCAGAGAACCTCTCTCACGCCTGGTGTTCTGTTGC